AGGATTTCGTGATTGACACTATCAAAGGCCTTTGATAAGTCGCACAATGTAAGTTTATACGGTTGTTGTCTATATTCTCATAAATATTATTTGTAATCTGCAATAATGCTGTTTCAGTGGACAGCTTACTTCTTAAGCCATGTTGTGTTCTAGATAGTAGGCCGTGTGTCTCTAGAAATGTTGTCAGTTGGTCTGCTACGATTTTTTTTCGAGAACCTTCGACAGTATAGGAAGTAAAGTAGTAGGGCGATAATTATTAACTTCGTCTTTGTCGCCAGATTTAAAAACTGGTGTTATTATGCCATGCTTCCAGAGCGATGGGAAGTCACCAGTGACCAGAGATGTATTAATGATTACCGTTAAGTAATACGCCACAGCAGGTAGGCTGTCTCTGAGGAAGCGAAGAGCAATACCATCCACCCCCACAGACTTTGTTTCACGCAGGTGATTTATTGTCAGGATTACGGTTTCTATTTGAACAGGTTGTGACCTGAAATTATTGGCTAAGGGCCCTACACTGTGTTTTGTTTAGATATGGAAGCGTTTGTTTGTTCATATGTGGAATGTCCAATTTTAGCGAAGAACTCATTAAATTCATTTGCACTAATTTTGGTGTTTAGATTATCTTTATGGTTGTTTTTGACTGGTACAAGTGTCTTTAAAATCTTCCATGTTTTGGCTGAATCTTTTTTACAATTTGTTAATCTATTTCTAAAATAATGTTTTGGCTTTTGTATTAGCGATTTCACATTTCTCTTTCTTTGTTTATAGTGAGCCTGGAGTGTCGTGTCGAATCTGTTATTTTTGAGAACGTTATGCATATCATTTCTGTCTGTTATGGCTCTCTTGATGTCGTCGGTAATCCATGGGGCCGGAGGACGTTTAATGATTTTTGTAACAAAATGGGCGATGACATTTAGACTATCATTAATTACTTCCGTGAAGACATCTACATGCTTGTCTACGTTGTCAGTTTGCAAATTTATTAGGAGAGATAATTCTTTGGTTATTATGATTTGCCATAATGACTGAGAATCATTATTGGATAATTTTCGAAAGGTTTTTGTAACTGTTGGTCGTTTTGATTTCTTTATATCTAGTGTCCCCGTTATGAGTTCGTGGTCGGCAACATGGCATGGAATGACGTCTGTGTGGAGGACGATCTCAGCTCTGTTTGTTATAATTACATCAATTAATGACGAAGTATTTTCTGTGATTCTTGTAGGTTTTTTTTACCAGTTGTTCAAATTTGTTTTTGTTAATTATCTTAGTTAATTTAGAATTTGGCTTGTTTAAGTCATCATTTAGATCGCCAAGTATGAAAAGAGATTTCTTTTTCAATGACATTTCTCTAAAACCTTTTTCTAAATAATCAAAGGATTCAGAAGAACCATGAGGATGCCTATAGATCACGGTTGTACTTATTTCTGTTGAGGAACTTTGATTCTTTGGAAGGCATCTGAGTCTAAAAATAGTTCGGGCGTTATTTCTCGTCCTCGTACTGTTACCGTGAAACTGGTGTAGTAATTATGTGTCATCACGGTTTTGTGTGCTTTTACACTTGATATGTTTTCAAAATTGTCCGATAGATGATCTTCGATGTCTTCTTCATTTGTGTTTAGATGGCAGCTTGCGATATACAGGAACACTGTGTCAGGTCCTGCTAAGGGTTTTGCCGCTTGTCGTTCTTCTGTTTTTTTTTTTTTTTTTGTTTCCTTGATGTTACTGTGACGATACCTTCATCCTCAGCAACTTGCTCCGCTCTTTCTCCGTGGTTGTTTATCACGACCGTCGGCACTGCTGGAGCTGGGCTAGAGTAGGGGGGGCAGTGGGAGGGGGGACTCCTGGCACCTGGTGATGAGTTGCGTCATCCCACTGACGATTGTGGTCGAGTTCCTTCTATATATTATATATATATAATATATATATATATATATATATATATATATATATATATATATATATATACACTTATCATATATTTCTCTATTATAATTTATATCTAATATATATATATATATATATATATATATATTATATATATATATACTATATAGAGATTTACGCAAATTACAACTAGTATATAGAAGCAATGTACAGATCTACGTGACCGTTTTTCTTTTCATTTTTTATCGAAGTGAAAATCCTCATTCCCCAGATATTACATATCCTTTCTCTAATAAACAAAATTTATCCCTCCGTAATGTGGAAGTCATGAAATATCAAACACAAAGCCAACGGGCATGAAAGAGAGAGAGAAACAAAATCCACATTTATTTCATTGAAAGCATGGAAGTTACGCCGTGTCATGTTACAGAACTGACCGCCAAGGAAAACACCGGCTCCGGCCTTTAAGCTTTTGAGTCGTAATTCAGATACAAAGCACTCGTATTTGCGTCTTTGACACTTTTATCACCATTCAGATACCAGGCGCTTTTCTTGCATAATTTTCTCCGGTGAAAGAATGGGGAGAGAGGAAGGGATTGGGTGGTTGGGGAAA